TATCAGTATGGTCAAGCTGTGATAACGAGTGGAATGATATCTGTAAGTTGGCTATGTCAATCACTGGTACCTTCTCACTCAGATAATGGGTAAAACCAAGATGAAAAAAAACGATCAAACTGCACTACTTTAGACTGTATAGTGAGGAGTAAAATGGATGAATGCAAGCTCAAGGATCCTGATCGTTCGATTGCTTTCAATGGAACTTGCATTTCCACAATGCCGGGACCGATGAGAACTCCTTTCGATCAGTACTACACGTGAGGTTTTTCTACTTTTGCTGAAGACTTCAGAAAGTACCAGTAGCAACATCAATGTTGTACGTTGCAAGCGAAAATCTTTCGTGATATCTCATCACTTGTCAGGTATTTTGCTGTCTGTGGCCATTTTCCAACACTGTATAGAATCCATGCAGTTCCTCTCTTTAATCTTTGTCGTTTCTTAACGGAACACTTTCTACTCATCTAGGCATCAACTATTCACTAAAAGCTACTTTCAGAAATGTCGTCACAAGACGATCTCAAAGTATCGAAGATATCGGCGCCATCAACTGGCCTGTGATAATCACATTGGCCTTCATGTGGCTTATCTTATACTTTTATTTTGATTAAAGGCTACAAGTACATGGAAAAGCTGCATATGTAAGAATTTTAATTTATCATAAGAACTGTTTTGATCTAAAACTTATTGATATTCTCTAGTTCACCGCTACGGCTCCATACTTTATCGTTGTTATTCTATTCTTCCGTGCAATAACATTGAAAGGCTCCTTTAATGGATTGTATTACTACTGGGGAAAACCAGACTTTTCAAAAATTCTCCATCATCAGGTTATGACGTACTTTTTGCAGTTGATTGTCCGAAATGAACATTAGCAGAGAATAGTATATTTGTGACAGATAGTGTCTTTTGGAAACAATTAAAGGTAATCTAGACCAGAACTTTCTAGATTTATTCTCTGCAGACATGGGCGGCAGCATTCGTTCAAATCTGCTTCTCCATAAATGTTGGTTATGGTGGCGTCATCATGCTTGCTTCGTACAACAAAGTGAACAACAATTGTTTCAAGGTCTGATCGATATCTTTCAGTCTTGATGACAGCGACATTGGCAACCGTCTTCTGTTGTGCTATGAATAGAGACCACTTTCTTTACTGACTAATAATGTTCCCATGATCAGATAACCACTTCTCAACATTAGCTTCCAAATAATAATGGATGAACCTTATCGGTGCTGACTGTCCGTTGGTACCTTTGGACTTCGGTGATAAAAGAGGTTTATCAAGCAATTTTTAGGATGCGTGGATTGTTGTGGCGGGGGACTTCCTCATGAGTGTATTTGGTGGTGCAACCGTGTTCGCCACTCTTGGTTACCTTTCTCATGAACTCAAGAAGCCTGTTGAGGAAGTGGTTTCAAGTGGTTGGTGGCGTACTCACTTGTCATGTTGTTATGGTTGTAGAATTTCAGGGTCGTTAGTTAGCGATTTTTCATAAAACTCTGTTTTTAGTTTGAGCTCGCGATACCGAAAATTTTTGATTTAGTGCATCAATTTATAGTAACTATAAAACATTGATCTTGATATTGCGCAGAAATACAGTTCATTTTCAACCTACCAAGTGCACAACTGCTGTATTATCTAACATGTGTCTGATGGGATCTTGTATGTTATCCAAAGACAAATGAAGAAACCCTCTCTTTTTATAAAAGCTTTAAAAACCATATGGAAACTCAAATTCGTGGCTAGTACTCTGCATAGTGTTTTTGGGAAAGCCTTTTAATTACACTGTAGCAACAGGAGACACTTGAGTTTCAGACGCGCATGTTTATTGCAGGACGGAACACTTTCCTCATATCACAAGTAATCCTTCGCTAGCTAAGTTTCGATGATTTTAGTGCTGTGCTTAGTTTCTAAAAAGACCGTTTTCACTAGAGTGTAGGACAGAAAAAAATAGGATCGAGTTTCACATATGTGGCCCATTTGTTTGTCGGCAAAAGTGTGGGCTGAGTGTCTGATGACCGTGGATTTGATACGGCGTTCCGCGATCGATCGACTGAAATGCATTGGCGCGACACATGTGGAATGCGATTTTTATTTCAATTTGTGATTTCTTCTCCGCTATGAAAGAAACTCCAGATAAAATGTATGACGGTGATACTACAAAATTTCTTCTACACGTTCATAGCATTTCGTGCCTTCAACGAAATAGCACTAAAACAACGTTGCTGGTATAAAACATAATTTCATTTCAAATGCTATAACGCCATAAAGGCGTCTTTTTAAAAAAAGACACTCAGCATAGTAGCCATAGATTTGGGCTTTTGCATGATTACTAACATTCATGTAGAAGTTCTTGTCCAGCGAATGGGGTCGTCTCTTCTGTTGTCCCTGGATAGCACAAGGCGGTTTTAGGTATAGACTTTTTTTAGATATTGCTGAGTGGCTTTTCAGGACACTCGTTGGCATTTGTAGCTTATCCGGAAGCAATATCAAAAATGCCATTTCCATCAGTTTGGTCTGTATTTTTCTTCTCTATGCTCTTTCTCCTTGGTATAAGCTCACAAGTTGGTATGTTTATATAAAATCTTTCTTCCACTTTGGAGATGATACATTAGAGTTTTGCATATACTATACTATCAATAGTATCAAACGTCATCAAAAAATTACGCTAACATAGCTAAATCATTCAAAACATTATTACTGCCACCATCACTACCTTATGTTCTTTCAAACTCTCTAGCAGTACTACGAGAAGTTCCATGTCGCAATCAGCATGAAAAAGGTTTATTTCGGAAAATATTTCTTACTCTAAATGTTTACCAATGATAGTAGTGCCTCAATGCGGAAGCCCCTTTACAACTTCGTCTCGGACTCATTAGACTTTTCGTGCTAACGTGATAGGGATACTGAATCCGATTATCCGAGAACTTTTTTGCCCTTCAAAGAATAGGAGATAACGAAGTCGGTAATGATTTTTCTAAAAGCACCCTGACACTACTATCATAAGACTTCATGAAGATTTGTTTCAAGCAGAATTCAAAGCAACAACTGATTCCTCATACTATTATGAAAATCATCACGGGTGGGGAATGCAAGGGATATTGCGAGTGGCTCAATATGTGATTTCGGATCATGTAAATCAAAATTATCTTCTACGGGACTAATTCTTGAAGGACGAGCCATCCGTCGATATCGACCAATCTTCTTTTATTAGCGTATTTCAGCACTCATTGAGACTTTTGGCACAAGCATCTATGATCAGTGGCCATCCACTCGTAGATATAAATGGCTTGTGTCGTTAATATGCTGCTTGACAGGTTTCGTTTGTGGCACTTTGTTCACAACCGAGGTTAGTCTACTGCTTCGCATCGCGAAAGATTCTGACTGATAAGTTATACAGTCGTTATTGTGCTATACACGAATCCCTCCGGATTTTCTCAATATGCGGAATAAGGCAAAGACTTCGAACTTCGATCAGCTAAAATTAATACACCGTGTACTTCAGAGGCACTTACATCAGAATCGTGACTGACCGAACTCCACATAGTGTTGCTATTAATTGAGGAACGACAGCCGATATTACTCGCCACAGATTCCCAAACTTGAATCCGTTTTGGAGAAATCTTACATCTACTTTTATATGAGAATCTACAATAAATCCATCACAAGATTGCGAATACAGTTGTGAAAGCTGCGTAGTGAAAGTGGTGGTCATACCGTTCATCACAAGCACTTTTGCTTCGATCTTATCCCGAAATATCTTAGCCTCTCATCCTTGCGGGTTGAAAAATCAATGCCAATGCTGTTTCGGTCCAACTCACTCTTTCGAATTCATGCAGGAGCGCTCCAACATAACTTTCTGAGGGCTAAAGATAATATTTTCAATCAGCGCTCAACGACATTGATTAAAAAAGAGAACAATACTGAAATACCAGCAGACCAACGAAAGAAAAGTTATAAAATCTCTGTGGATGACGAATGCAAGAAAAAGAAAAACGAATAAAATGTGAGTGCTTGGATCCGCACAGTTTTTGTAGATGTGCCGAATAAAATAAATGAAAGAAATTCACGGAGCAAAGCCTATTGAATAAACCTTGAATAAGTGATCATCTCAATTCGTAATGATCGTGTTAGCTTCAAGTATGATCTATCCTTATAGAGCGGATTTTATTGGTTCACTTTATTCGACGAATTTTGTGGTTCAACAGCAGCATGTGTTGTGATCGTAGCGGAACTGCTTATAATTGGGTATTTTTACGGTGAGTAATAAAACAATACATTTTAGCCATCAATGAGGAAGGATAAGTACTTCATGTCCCTCAATCTATTGCTTCTAATTCATGTTGATAAAATCTTTGAAATATTAGATTGTTCCATAAGTTTTCGCACTAAAGCAGTAAGCACCAGATTTATTTTAGGGAAAAATTAAAACTGCATAATTTTGATGTCGTTCAACTGCACATTTTCTTGTGAACATTTTGGTATACAACTTACCTATATTTGCTTTAAGATAGAGCTGTCGTGGGAGCAAATTTGCTTGCTACTTATGCACGAATGGCGCGTAAAGGAAATCGCTAGTGAAGCGGCGCGCAAAATCATTGAAGCTTCCTGCGTACGGTGCAAAAGCGGCTAATCTTTCACCACTGTTCTTTCCAGCTTTGAACTTTTCGAAGCATTTCCTAGGCGCCCTTTGTGCAATCGTATAATCTTCCCAAGCTTCATTAATCTTAGGGCGCCGCTTGAACAGCATTTTCCACAGCGCGCCATTCTTGCATGAGTACCAAGCAAATTGTCCACACTACAGTTTCATCTTAAACATATATAGGCAAATTGTCTACCAAAATGTTTAAAAGAAAAGGCAAGATTCAACGAAATCAAGATCATGCAACTTTGATTACTTCTGGTCATGAGAAAAATTTTATGTTTATTGCTCTAATGCCAAGACTTGTGGAACAACCTAATAAACCAATAAAAATAGTAGAAAGAGCGATGTGCAAAATAGGCGCCAGTAGTGTAACGAAAAGAGCACGTATTCCCGGTAAGAGTGAGGTGCGGGTTCTAGTCCCGCCTGGCGCCAAAGTTTTGCACATTACTCTATAACACTGGGCATATATTCATAAAATCATACCACCGCAAAAAAAGCGGCTAAATAAAAACATTTTATTTGATCAATAAAATAGTAGTTAGGATCTATTTTAAATGTTTTTGAGCCTTCGTCGTTCTTCTCGAATCTTAATTGCGAATGAAATGAGCTGAATGGCAATATATATTCGAAGAAACAGGTCAAAAAAGCCCAATAAATTTTTTTCAACGCTTCAAATCGACTATTTAAGACCTCGCTTGAAATCAATACATCCTGGCAGCATTCAGGCATTTTTTGAGATCTGCTATGGCACTAATAAGGTGCTAAACACCTGTTTTGGCGTTTCAGCCACCGGTAACACTGAGTGGTTCCTTTAGCTTCAGTCAGTTCCTTGTAAGAGGATATATCTCCTACATATGTCTAACACTTTATATGTACTACAATAGATCGCATGAAAGGCGTAAAATATGCTGTCAGGATGTACTGATTACAAGCGAGGTCTGAAAATAACCGATTGAAGGTGTTGATACTTATTGCTAACAATTCGTGTTGATAATCGCTAACAAGCTTAAGCAGCATAAACTTATACACGAAAGGCATATGAACGTGCAAAAGAAGTTTCAAATTGTCGGAGCAACATGTTTCATCCAAAGTTTTTCAAAGAGGAGAAAAAACCCTAGATTTAACAACAAAAATCTCATGCCGCATGTGAATCGCGTTGCGACTAGCCGACAACAAATACGTGCCGAGTGGAAACCTTATCTTCTTTCGACTACTACAGCGCAACAAAAAATGTTTATCAGAAATAAAGTAAACCACTGAAATCATTGCGATTTGAGCTATCAAATAATTACCGTAAGCATAGGGAAAAATCTAGTGTAGCCAAAAATGCCCGATTGTGGAAATAATTTTACTTTTCACTCAAAACCAAGTGTACCATCAAATTCTGAGACTTGAGCTATCGAATTACTATCAAGAGTTCAAAATATAGCGAACATGTTTTTAAGTAGCTGAAACAGGATGCAAAGAACAAAGATGAACCATTCTTCTTTCTTCTTCTTCGCTTTCGTAGCCCCAAACAATAGAACGAGTGTCTTAGAAAACTCAGCTCCGCGTGCTTTTTTCCTCGTCCCACAGAAAACAGACATTGAAATAGGTACACATGGATATCGCACTCTCATCAAACGGAAGACAAGCAGTCAGAAATTTGCTAAAGTAGCATGACTTCCAGTTTAAAGTGCCGGAGGCTGAAAGTTTTTTTATTCACCTAACGTGAAATTTATTTACCAACGCGTCTTAGCTTATCAACGACTTAACGACATATTAATTCGTGACATCAAAGTTCAAAGAGGGTCTGTTTTTAAAATACAGTTGCTTGCCTTCTTCTAAATTGGTCAATAATCGGCATAGAAAAGAGTAGTAGTAATATAATTGAATGAATGGTGAATTATTGACGTTCTGAGGTAAAAAAAGGATAACTTTTTCAAAGTTCCTAACTATTTTCTTGTTTTGTGTCAGTCTCGCCTAGCTTTTAGGATGTAAAAACTTTCGCGACGATTTAATTGAGATGTTTGAACTACCAGTTAACTACAGATTATCAGTTTTCGGACCTTTATCACCATTGTGGGAATTTGCGTGGAAGTTCACAGCCCCGGTTTCAGGTTTGGTGGGTTGTTTGCAGCACGTAATTTTCGCATTTGACTTTAGTTGATGCGAGTCAGATTAATTTCGGTAGCAGAAACATTACGCTTTCATGAATTGTTTGACTATTCGTTTGATTACGTATGTGATTTGCTTTTGTAAAACCATATTGGTTCCGTCTGCTTATGATTATCGCTGTAGTCGCATTGATTTGAGTAGAATTATTTTGACTACGATATTGACAATATATCATGTTCTTAAGCATCGAAATTGGTCTTTTTTCAGCTACACAAGTAAGAAAATTCAGTTCAGGTAGTCATGATTTTCACACTACTTAGAGGCGAAGTAACTGTAGAGACTCCTTATGGGCCTTACACATACCCAAATTGGGCTATAGTGAGTTCAAAGTATTTTCAGTAGGGTAGAATCTCTTTGATTACGTTGATTAATGAAGAATTATTCCAGTATTCTGCTACTCAATATGCAGTCCAAAGTTGTTTGTAGTACCGATTTTTAGGCGTTTGGATGGTTTTTGAGCCTTTCTCCGATTATTCCGATTGTTTTGTGCTTCATGATGAACTACTTAAAGCTGAAAGATAAAGAGAAAGGCTAGTTTTAGATAAGCTCTCTTTAATCTGCATTGATCCTGAAATTTGCAGCCGCTCCATTCCTTGTTCACTATACAACCATCACTGCCGTCGTACAAAAGAATAACCGACAAATCGCGGGCACCTGTTGATGATGCACCGCAATCCATTTCGAAAGCGAGCTCTCAATCCAAATCCACGATGAAGTCAACAGTGAAAGTGCAAGGTCTGACAACGAAGTCAGCAAAAAAATGTGGATGGCGTAGAAAACGAAGTCCGCAGAGAACGTTTGAAGTCTAAAGATGAAACCAGCGAAGATTTTGCGAATCATTGTGGTTGATTACTGCTGTATAACTACATTTTTGTATGATGCTAAATACTCCGTGCATACTTATGTAGCAAATGGTGTCTTTCTAGTTCAGTACAATAAATTTACCACCTTATTCCGCCTAATGCGGTCCTATTGGGCGGTTAAAATCAATGCTGGTGTAATGAGCTGAGGTACAGCCAGTTAGTAACGAGACAAAAATTGTACTCCATTAATTTTTTTTCTGCCATTTGAGACTATGGAGGGTTGCAGCTGCAAAAACTTAGTTAACAAATGCGCGGTCCACATTATCTCCATACGAGCGATTCACGTTGCGGCATTGTGGCAGATTGTCGTGTATTTTGGCTTGTCCCAAAATCCCTTTCGTAAAATTGCTTTGTTCGATTTTTTTTTCTATTTTGAATGGGGTTATTGCCATCAGGCCACGTTTTGGAGAAACTGGGCTGAACGTACATCATTCACCATATAGCCCTAATGTTGCCCCATCGAGTTATCATCCCATCACGCGCTGAAGCAGCATTTGCAGAAGTAAAAATTTAGAGCTTCTGCGAGCAGAAAAAATTCTAAAGACTACAAACAACTTAGAAGTGACCTCATCTACTTCGTTGATCGCCACGCTTATTCTTTCCAGAAAGAAGCCATTCAGTCTTTGCCACCAAATGGTTGCATACTATTGATCACAATAGTGATTATATGTTCACTTTGATTTATCCAACTATTTAACAATTATATTAACAAGAGCGTCGAAATGCGAAGCAAATTATGGGATAAACCAATTTTCGTCATTAGAAACAGTGAACAATGGATGTCATTTTATTTACAACTGTTTATTTTGGCACACAATGCTTCGTCCTTGAGATTTCCTAGCGGCTGTCTTCAATGGAGAGCTTTTGGTTGTCAATTTCAAAAGAAGTTCTTTGTATGAGTTTGTTTCTTGAACAAGAAACGCCCTAGAAGAGAGCGGTTGCTAGAGAGACTGTTTGCCTTACATAAGGGAAGGGGGACGTTTCTACTATAGTTAAGTACTTATAGTTAAGCACTGAAGCTCGGTAAGTATAGGTTTTTTCTCCCTGAAAAGACGATAGATTACGGGAAAGATTTTTTTAGAGTGACTCGCTCTTTACAATCTATGCTTCCATCAATGTGTATCATAAGTTTTCATCATTAGAAACAGTGAACATGTCTTATTACCATCTCATTATTATTATTATTACATTGTGTAGGACGACCACAATTAATGTGTAGATTGTTATTCGTCGTTATTCTCAATAATGTTCAGGGTGCAGTCTAGAGTTTAGAATGTGTGAATGCACGTATCCTTCAAAGACCATAGGGTACGTTTCGTGCCGTGTCGCTAATCTCACCCAGCTACTGTAATGGCGGCGCGTCGCTCTCCGTGAGAAAGGAGACGAATCTCGCGCTAAGAGAGGACGCAGACGGCATGACATCGCCCCTTTTCACGCAGAGCTGGCTGTCAACGTATCTGAAGGCGGAATGATGGAGCGACGAGATGAACCTTGTGATGGAGCATTATCATCTCAGAATGTTGGAGTTTAAAAAAAGTTTACTTAAAATTCGATTACGGGAGAAGTTCATCTTTACGAAAAGATAGAATATTAGTGAATAGACTTTCATAACGTCTTTTGAGTGAAAATAGCACCAATTTACCCATAACTCAATGGCAGGAGCGCATGTGGCGCAGTGGTTACGTGTTTTGCGTCGCACACAAGGTCGATGGTTCGATCTTGCGTTCATAGCTCACCGAGCCATCGATTTCTCCTGGGTCGCTAAGACAAATCAGGGGCCTTTCATGTAGCTGATGGACCTTGCGCTACCTACACGGGGTCTCATTAAAATTATTCGTATAAATCGTGGAATCTGCAAAATCATTCTACCAAGCAAGTCTTGTTTTGCAATTGCTTTCGTATAATCTTATCATTTTTTTAAAGTTACAGACTGTGGCTGCTTTCTCGGAACTGGTTGCCATTACCCAGGGCGAACTCTCCTCTGCCTTGTTCTAACTCCCAATTTCCTCAATATCTCAATCAGCTGCTGTAACGGCGATGTCTCGTATGGTGGGAATACAGACGCAGAAAGGACGACATTTTTGCACAGAGACGCACATGCCGTTTTTCTAGGATTGTCGCGAAAGCGACTGCACGACGTTACCTGCCTCTCAACGTTGACCCTCAGACGGCTATACATTTTACAAACCCTACATATGTTTGAGAAGTCTACACATACAAGTTCAATACTTATTTGCAATTTACGCGTTCTTCAGAGCATGGAAAGGTCAACTTGTCCATAATACAATGAGCCAGATACCTTCATTACTCCATACAGTAATCTATACAATATAATGCGATGTTATATAACGGTAACGTAGTGAAGAAAATGTATGACAGCATCTCGAGTGATGACGGCTTATGCTTACATG